TAAACTCAAACTTAGAAATATCATAAAATTTAGAAGAATTGTTCTTGATATCATAAATAAGAGGATTAGAGGACATACTTGATTGAATTTATTTTACAAAGGTTGAATCAATAGTCAATGTTTATTGCTTGAAGATAAAAAAATATTCTAACTTCAAGACAATCATTCTTTATTAATTAAAAGTTGCATTTCTTTCTTTTGATATAAGATAAGAATGTTTAGAAAGGACTTTTGACAAACCTTATTGTTTTTTGAGTTGATAAATAAACTTGATAAAAACATACTCTAATAAGCTTGGCAATAATTAAAAATATGGGTTGACACGAAGTATTTGAGGTTCTTGTGATCCATATACATGATGATTGGACTAAAAGCACTTTTTAGATAATGATGCCATTCTTAAAATAAATCCATGATAGTCAAAAGCTTTTTGTCATCGATCTCATAGTTAATCTTCACTGTTGAAAATTTCTTAGAATAAAAAGCTATGAAGTAGAGCTTGTCATCTGCTTCTATTTGTGACGAAACAACACTCATAGCAAAATCTAATACATTTGTTTTCTTAAAGAATGCCTTTAAAAAGTCAACACATTATAAAATTGGTGTAGAAATAAATGTTGTATTTAAGGCTTCAAAAGATGCTTCAACTTCTTTAATTCACTCAATTTTATCTTTACATGTCAAGTATATAAGAGGGGTTGTAACTTAAAAATAGTTCTTGATGAAGATCTAATAATAATTAGTAAATCTTAAAAAAAATTCACATCTCTAATTAATTTTGAGATCTTTCAATTTACAATAATTTGGATCTTTTTAGGATCCATTATAAAACCATTGTTTGAAATGATGTATCTTAGAAAGTCAACTTAAGTAATATAAATACAAATTTTTTTATCTTGGTATATAATCTTATATCTCTTAGTTTTTATAATACGTAACAAACATGAAATTCATTCTCTTCTATATTCTTAGAATAGATCTAGATATTGTCTAAATAACAGATGACAAAATTATTAAGAAACTCACAAAAAACATCATTTATTAGATGTTGAAAAGTAGTTAGTGTATTTGTGAGTCCAAAAGGCATGGCATTATATTTAAAATTCCTCTACTTGATTCAAAAAGTAGTTTTCTATTCTTCAATGCATATGAGGTTGTATGCTCCTTGTAGATCTATTTTTATATAGATCTTTATTTGATTTAGTTGATCAAAAAGTCTTGAAATAAGAGATAGAAGATACCTATTCTTGATGGTGATCTTCTTGAGTCCTTAATATTTTATATACATTTGTAGAGATTTATCTTTTTTCTTCACAAATAAGATAAGAGCCTTAATTAAAGGTTTAAAATGGCGTATGAAGTTCTTAGCCAAATTTTCATTAATGTATTCTTTGAATATAGTCAACTTATTTTGTGATAGACTATAGATTGATCCTTTCATTAATGTATTCTTTGAATATAGTTAATTCGTTTTGTGATAGACTATAGATTGATCCAAATAATGGTTGAGTTCAATCTTAAAGATTGATGGAACAATCATTAAGACAATGCTCTAGAAGAATATCTACATTCTTTTTTTCAAAAATATCTTGATAATCTTGATATTGGCTTGAAATACTTTTTGAAATCTTTTTCTATTAACAATAGGTGTGGCATATATAACAAAAGTTGATTCTTCTTTTGCAGTATGCATGAAAGTTTTTGTACCTACCAATAATGGTTTGGATGTATCAATCTTATGGATTTTTATTTTTCTAGCAAAAACTTGGATTAAATTATAGAAAAAATCAAGATTATAAGAAATCTAATCTATTTGAAGATTATACCTTTTTAACCATAATAATCTTAAAATAATTGGGTTAGAAATATATCTAGTTACATTAAATATTACTAAACTATTATGACCACTAGTTGCTACTTCTACAAGAATAGTTTCATCTATAACATCTTTAGAAGACAATAAACAACCATCTATTACTTCTACATGTACAGGTTTGATTTTCTTAACTAAGGATACATCTTATTTTTTGATAAAGTCCTTATCTATAAAATAGTCTAAAACTCTTGAATCCAAGAAGGCTAAGACTTTGTGATTTTTTGGTCCTAAAATAACTTCCATTATAAAACAAGGTAAAAGAATTCAAAGAAAATATAGAATCTTTATTAGGAATTATAAAAGATTCCAACCACAAGATCCTTATTGTAGTTGGAGAAACTTATTTTCCAAAACATTGCCCTCATTCATAACCATGCTCTTTAATTTGTGATTGATTAGTTTTTTTAAATAATATTGAATAGTGAACTTGAGTTCTCTACAATAAAGGTACAAACCTTCTTGATGACAATGAATCTTTTTTTGTTAAGTAAGAGGTTTAAAATGTACCATATCAATTTATATTAGTTTTGACCTAGATGAATAAGTTTATAAAAACTTAAGAGCTGCCATTATTACTTGATTTATTCTTCTTCACCCAAATCTTTGTTCTTGATACCTTTCAAATAATTAATTATTGCATGCAATAACTTGAGCAATAAATTATTTCAAAAATCTTACTTTTCGCATTGTCAATAATAAATCTTTGACGTTGTTCTTTAATCTATATCAAAATTGATTGATAAGATCTTTGTTATTCCAAACCATATCACAAGAAAGATTTTGAAATTCAGTAGCATATATGATAGCTGACTATAATCTTTGTCATAAAGATAAGAGCTTGATTTTTGCTATTCTTTTTCAATCTCTTTTTCCAAATGTGAGTATAAACACCTCTAAGAATGAATTAAAATCATAAAAGAGTCATAAAGTCTTTTCCATCTAAGATGCAAACCAAGAGAAAACACTTCTAAATAAAAATGTACTTAAGAATCTAACTTAAATAAATCCATCAAAGTATTGGAAGAAATGAAATCTTAAGTAAAGCTTGATTTATTATAGAAATCCTCAAAATTTTGATCTTATTCCATCAAACTTCTTGGGCATACTAATCTTTGTCTTCTTTATACTTGTAGAAGCAAAAATTCCTAGATTTGGTTTTGAAGTTGATCTACTTGCTTCCTTCAATTACACAACTTCTTGATACAGACGCTAAGCTTCTTCCATAAGACATAGGATTAATATTTCTTTTTTGGCTCTACTAATGCATGAAATTTCCATCCTAAGAATGTTGAAAAGTTGGTGAAGATCTATAATAGTTGCAAATCTATCATCACAACTGCTAAGTGTAACATCTATAATTTTTCCTTCCATTTCAAATAATATGACAAATCCACAAATCAAATTAGAGGAAGATAATCTGCAACTTCTAATGTCAAATAAAAATTTCTACAAAAAAGAATAATCTACTCTCTTTAAGAAAAAAATTAAGATTAAATATATATATATATATATTTATATATTTATTTATTTATTTATTTAAAGATGAGTAATTTATAACCTTCAAAATACAACAATAGAAGTGGAATAATTCACTCATTTTCAAAACAAGACAAGAACAATGAGTTAGGATTCTTCTCAAACTATCAAGGACATGAACCTCAAAGAATTAAAATGTCAATACACTCTTGTATCATTCAAAAAGACTAGAAAATTATTGAAAGATGATACAATATTAAATTAAAATGATTATTGCCAAAAATAAGAAAATTAAAAAATCTTAAAACAAGATTAAGGACTAAAAAGGCATTGATAAAAGTGAAGAAGGCTTCACTCTTACCTCCATATATACTCTTAATTAAGAGCTATGTAGCAATGTCCTATAGGACCTCCAAAATATGTTGACTTTGCAAGACATGTATCTTAACTTACAAGACAAGTTTTCTATATTTATACCATGTAGTTAGCTTGTTTCGCAAGCTAACTACATGTGGTTAACTTGTTGATTAAGTTTCTAACCTACCAATCAACTACAAACACATATAAAGACAAAGTAACATCTATGAAGCTTCTAATAAGCTTCTCTAAAAAATATTATGAGATAAATCTACTTTTACCTATTTCTATTTAATCAAATAGGAAAATATTAGAGTAAATATGTATGTTTCGGACACTCTTTAGATAAAAGTTAATATTGTATGAGTTACACAAATAAGGATTTGATAATGAAGAAAGAAAAAGAGAAAACTATAAATTGAGAGTAGCAAAGAATTTCTCCAACAATATAAAGTCATCGTTATAGTTTTATTATCACTATTAAGTTTGAACTATTTATTGATCATATTTCTACAAATATAGTGTATTTACATATAAATTCACTATGATTAATCTCATTCAAATCCAATCATATTTATGGTGATACATTACATTGTGCTAGTGTTATTTCTAATTTAATATTATCACAAGTAATGCCATATTTGCATAATAATGTACTTTTGGTATAAATTGATGCTAGTATATGTATACACTATCATCAATTTGTATAATATATGTATACATATATATAAATAAAATACATCTTAACACATATTTTATTTTATAAATTTTATATTAAAAATATACTTTTAATATATTTTAAGTACTTTAATATTATTTATAATAGATTTAAAAAAAATTGACTTATCATCAATATATCAAATATATAAAATTAAATATATAATTAATATTATTTTCAACAAGTATTATTATATTATATAAAATAACAACATTGTATTATCCCTTGCTTAACAAGACAAGAATTTCTAATCAATATAATACCAAACAAAATATCATTCAAATGTTGAATCTCCTCACACCAATGCATATGTTGCCACTTCATAACACACCCTTGTTTTGAAAGATGCAATTGCATAGACTGTCAATCATATCAAATTATAGGGACTCCTTCACCACTACCCTTATTGTGCAATGTCACCTTATTCATTCTAAGTGACTTTCAACCTCAATTTCTGAAAGTAATTGCCCAACGCCCAGGTCTCCATCATACTTCTGTTCCATCGTGGGGCAACACTTCTGCAAGGGTTGTTTTTTTCTTCTTCTGTAGCAATTTGGGTTGCACAATGTGATGTAGAAAATTGTGAATAGAGCTTGAATTGTGTACTATGTTGCCTTTACTTTTTTGTGCTTTAATGGTCTCAAGTAACACAGCTATATCATGCTACAAGTCTATTGCCATCTGAACACTTAGCTGAAGTTGCACCACCACCCATTATCACCTCCTGTACAGCTCGGGGAGATAACTGCATAAGAGCTTCAATCTTACGATAGAACCTATCTGAGCAAGCCTTTGTTGGTGGCGATCAGGATCCATGGCATGGAATTATGTTGTTTATCTCACATACAAACTTGGATACAAATTGTTGCCAGTTTCTGCTTAATCAACTAAATAGGTTTCTTAATTAAAGGGTTTGCTTGATTGTCTTGTCAGGAGACCTCACCCTCGGGTATTGTGGTCAGTTACCGTTCATTTAAACTATCTACAGCCTGAAAACAAAAAACCTAAGATTGTTTCCAGCATTTCGGGAGAATACTTTATATACTCTTCTGAATTGCGTGTACAATTCTCGAGTAAAGGCTCAAACTGTACCAGATAGCTCCGGTGCGCAGAAATCACCATTTGTATGACAGCTGCCAAGATTCTATCTCTCAATTGTTGTTCTGATGTGATCCACTTCACCTGAGTTTGAACAGACTCATTAAGGGCTGGTGTTAAATGATCTCTATATTTGCCGCACCAAATCACATTGTCCTTTGCTTCATCCAGAACAAGTGAGCCCATCGCGGCTGCGACATTGGAGCACGGGTCGTCAGCAAGTTTGTAGAAATTTCGTTTCACTTCGCGACAGCTACAGATTGAAAAATAACTGTGTTCAGGTTCTCACTGAATATATAAATAGAAAGATTCTATTTAGAAAGGTTCTCACTGAATATATGAAATAAATAGAAAGATCATTCTTCACAAATAAAACGACAAATGTTTGCGAAAATTTAACATAGGTTTACACAAGTACTTCAATCAGTTGGATCAAAATGGTACAAAAGACCTCACCGATTTCCTGTGTACTGAATGAAAAGCGATTACCTTGCGGCCAATTTCTGACTCTAAGTCTTCACCCAACAGTGGCTCGAAACCAATATTCTTCACATGATTGCGAGTAAAATACATATTGCTCACCAGAAATATGTGACGCAGAGCAGGATCTTGAAACTCAGGCGCGGGCCTCAACTAGTCCTTCGAGAGTTTGTAAAATTTGACCAGTACCCTGAGGCAGTCCCATCTTTTCAACTTCTTCACCACCCTCCAAACTATGGCAATTTGGAGCACCTTGATCAGAGTCTTGGGAAATAAAGAAATGACGTATTTCAGATAATTGACCACCCAACTTTAGAGCTGCTTAACCCTGCCATCATATGACATGCTTTCTTTTTGCAACTTTACCCAGTCTTCAATTTTCCCAGGATGCATTCCCAGCTATATAAACAAGCTGTAGGCATAAGGAATGTGGCACGTAAATATATCAAATATCGAACTTGCAAGAATTCTCAAATCTCGAAACTACATGCTACATGATAAGCTTCAGTACATCCTGTCTTCACCATCATTGAAGAAAAGAACATGTCATGTGCTTTTGGTCGTCTAGACTAGACTCGGATTTTACGAGGAGATTTATGAGGAAAGTATATCAAGACAAGAGCTTTGGTATTCAGTAATAACAGATATCATTAGCCTCGCAGCAGTAGTAACTGGGGGCGCAGGCAAAGGTCAGATAAGCCTCCGACGATGACTTGGAATATGTTGCATGATATCCTATTTTACTTGCTAGCATGTATGCACAAACCACACATAAGAAATTAGGCATGATATAGTCTTTCCACAAAAAATAACCACCTGTAGGAGCATCTCCTTCTCGGAGCTCCATCCTGTTGGACAAGTCTTTAAGAAAACTATCCCTTACGTAAAAGGCGCTTGAATTCTTTCTCAAGCTTGCCGAGAGCAGTGACTAAATAGCCCACCGTCAAGCTCATGTGCCCCGCCTGCGAAATTAAGACGCTTCAATCAGTCTATTGACCCTTCACAAGACATAACTATATTAAATGCATGCTATAACTTCAACGAATTAACGGAGTGCACAAGGTTAGCATGATCACAAAGATTTTCTGTGAGTATCAAGCAAATCTACAAGACGCAGAAGCCTAATAAACTCACATATACAAAGTGACAACACAAAAACCCCACAAACTACTCAAGGAACACAATTGATGACCTCCGTAGACCATTGTAACGGCACAATTCCTAGAGAACTTTTCAAGCCATAAGAACGACGAGAAGAAAAAAAGGAAAAGGAATAGAAGAAAAATTAAATAAAATAAGAGTGGTATAGAGTGACAGACGGTTATCAAAATTCATTCCTTTGTTCCGGCTACAAGAGGTCTGAAACCATGGCAAGAAGCTAGCCCTTCAATACAACTTAAAAAGAAAATGTCTGTAATTTAATGTCAACAAATGCATTGTGGTTTGGTGCGTTCCATGAGTAAGAACACATACCTTGTTGTTGAGCTTCAGGATTATGAGTGATTCATTGAGTCGGACCAAGCGCGCAGAGTCCGGAAAATTGGTCTCGTGCAAGTATGTGACAGCTTCTTATAATCACTGAACAGCAACAACCGAATTCTACTTCAAATAATCAATAGCGTCTTCCAGCTGCATCAATGCTGACATGTATCCATTGAAATCATCTCGAGGTTCGCGCATCAGCCTCACTCTTATTTTGTTCACGAGATCGAACATGCTAAAAATATGCATTGCTGGCTCTAAGGTTTTGTACATCCTTTGCGCCAGCCCCCTGTGACCATCGGTTGCAACTTCATTGGAACCAATACCCTTCTAACCGGCGACACGCGCTCCAGAACATTCTGCAATCGTTTGTTCGATTGATCCAATTGGTTGCCTATTGCAGGAGACTTCACTAAAGATTGACACACATCGGCCTGGGCGGAAAGAAGCTTCGCGAAGACATCTTGCGGAGCCTGGGCTACTTGTATCTCACTAAGACCGGACCATGTCACCTTCTTACTCCCCGCACTTTCGGCACAGATTCTTAACAACCTGGCTGCAATGGCAAGGAGGCAAAATCAAATTAAGGGCATAATAAATTCGAGCAAAATGTGTCGAGCTCACGCACGCATAGACTGTTGATACAAATCCAAACAAGATTCTGCAAACGATCAGTTTCAAAAGACCTCTCGAACTGCAAACATTATACAAGGGCAAAAACATAGCAACTCTAAACTAACACAAACACTACGTGCGCAGAAAAGCCAGATTTCAAAGTGGTGGCATAAAGATCTATAGATGAACGACACTCAACCTGCTGCAAGAAATTCCGTGCCTATCTGTGGTAAAGAAATCCCAGATATAAAGCACGGAGCTAACGTTAATAATGACACCGCTACAAATCTGGTGCCGACACACTACATCTTAAAATAATGATGCAGCAGACAAATAAGAGCTTGAAATTCAAGTAAAGGAATGAATGTAGAGTATAGTCATCCCCAATCTTAGGTTATATGACGTAATGCTTACGTCTGCTTGAAATTGATACATAAAACGGCGAAGAGAAAATTCAACTGCACTCGCAATCGACGCCACACTGACAGTGTTCTACTTCCCAGCGGGAGTGCGGCAAGAACCATCTGCAGGAGATCAGGGTCTGCAGGATTATCACAGTTCACTCCAGCTAAACCTACCATGACTTCTACGAAAAGACGAATTGGAGGCTAGGATGTTGCTGACGCACAAGGTGTAAATCCACCATCAATTTCGTTCTACCCATCTTCCAATCTATCCATCTGTCTAGATATACATATTAACATACTATTGACATATTAAAAGGTTTTAAGGATCTAGAATAGAGTGTTCAATTGCTCGGTTCCAGACGCACGCAATAATATCACCAAGTACATTTACCCACCGGGGAATAACCAAATCAACTGCAAGATTAAAAAAAAATTCAACGCCTAACATCAAGACAAAGGGCCAGAAATATCAGTCTAAATTCTATCCATACCAAAAATGCTTGAGGAAAAAAACCAGCTATATCCTAAATCCTACATCATTCATGCCCAATAAATGAGACAAAAATCGCAAAATTATAATATCATGTAAAACTAATCCCAATCCAGAACAACCCTAGAAAGCCGTCCCGATGAGATAAAGTACTCCACAACTAGTTCGATATTATCACTAAATAACCTGATGACAAGAATACGTACAAATCACAATAAGACAGCCGACCAATACCTTCTGATCATAAAACCCGGCACATACCTCCATTCCAACACTCTCACTAACCAAAAAAGGACCTACTATTTAAAGCCAATCTGTCAAAAAGCGTCGAACATTCTGAAAACATTGTTCGCCAAGCCGACAGTGCACATACTCCTCTAAACACCTAACAAAAGGACAAAGGAAACAAAAAAGACACTCAGCCAGTCACCTCGATCGGCTTCATCATGCAACACAGCGATCACGTCAATTAACCAACACAGTTAAATACTTAGCCCATCAACCCATAAGAACTCCTAAACCAACATTAAATAAAGCAACCAACTCATTATTACAGACGTCCGTAAAGAAAAATTCCAGGATTAATTGTACCTCACAAGTAAACCATAAAACTTTCCGTACTTCTTCATCACCAGACTCATCAATTCACCCGTTGTCCCATCTTTCTGAAAAAAATTGACCAAACTCCCTAAATCCCAGTGCGTGCTCCAGCCGCTTTTTACACAAACCATTCCCACACCCCCCAATCGTCTTCTGTGTCCTTTCCTCACCCGCTCCTCCACCATTCCCACAATGTGTTCCCATCGGGTACGACACCTCACTGTTCGACATTCCTGTCCCCTCCACCCCGATGCTCGCCCCTCCACCGCCCCCGCTCACCATAGCCGACCCACGCATCCCCGACTCGCCCTCCAACCTCGCCATCGGACTCCCGCCTGTCACCATCCCCATCGGCACACAAATCGACGCCGCTCCACCCATCTCCACCCCTTGCATTGCCCCTGCCGACATTGCTCCATGCCCATCCGCTGCGTCCGTACCCCACCTCCCCGCCCCTGCACTCCCTCCCTGCAGTGGCGCTCCACTGTTCTGCGCATCTGCCATACTGCACTCTGCTCCCCCAAAACCCATCCCTCCGGCCTGCTCCTCTTGCGCACCTTCGTGGAACAGTAAGTGCGCTACCGTGCGGTCCATCGGATTCGTTTCCGTCTCATCCGTGTTCATGCTCATCCTGCACATCCCCGCCACTCCAACCCATCAGCATCACCCTCTGCCCACCCACCCCCTACCCCCTGCTACCATTCTCACACCTCTACAAACCTCCACCATGTCGCATTCTCTCCTACCTCGACACCCTGCTCGATGAGCACGGGTCGCTGTTCCCCGAGCTCTCCACGCCATCCGATGCCCCGTCCCCGCTCTCCGACACCAGGCCGCTCTCACATTCCCCCTCGCCATCCCACCCGCCCGGACCTTTCCTCCGCATTGCGCTCCTCGCTAATCTGTACAGTGCGTCCCGGATGCACAGCTTCGTCTCCACTTGCAACTGCAACCCCCAACCATCCCTTCCCATCACTTCCGTGCACAACCATGCCCCCCATGCCCCCCACCATCCATCAACCACCCACCCTCGCCCACAATTCGCCACCCCCCACCGACCCCCCCCACCTTTCTTACCGATTTCAACATCTCCTGCAGACGCCCCATTCCCGCTCCTTCCATCGGCCGGTACTCTTCCTCCGAAGTCGTCTCCAAGCTTGTTTGCCCCACCGACGGCGACGGAGAATAGCCCCCCTACATTAACGTAGCAGTGATGTAGCTCCAACTAGTTGTACCCACCTCCACTTGCGTCAACATCACCCTCGTCTATCTCAATTCTCCACATGATTCCATCCCCAAAAGGAGAGGCCCCACCACCATTGGTTGCGA